CCATTCTGCAAGGTTTATGATTACTTTAACTAAAGCAGCTGGTATGTGCAATGAAAAAAAGTTGTCATGGCAGAAAAATCCCCCCTTCCCTGAGTGCAGCTGAGCTTGTCCAAGGAAGGCTTTTCCCAGACAAGTGTTCTCTCTCCACTGGACGTTTATTTGCAAAGTCTGTTGTACTTAGTGAAGTTAAACCATTCCTGTTGAAACGAGTAGACAAAAACATAAATGAGCCAATGTTACTTTTTTTCCCCCCAGCTTAGGATGGCTTAATTGCCTTTTTAAAAAGTTTTCACCTCTGAGCAGGCCTTTTCTGTTCAGCATCAGAAATAACAACTGAGACTATTCAAGGAAAAAAATGGCATCTTTCCAAAAGAGAAAGTGAACTTCAACACAATTCCTAGATTCAATAGGATTGCAGAGGAGGATTATTTCTGCCAGCTTTGGTCATTTGACAGCTACAATTCTCCCTCTCTAACATGTCATCTCAAATCTCCCTCAACTTAATATTAAGAAGCCTGCATTTAAACCTTTGATGTTTACAGTGCAAAAGAGAGAGATTGTTTATATTATTTATGTGGTGATATTTTAAATTTTAATTAGCTGCTCTGTTTTTACGTTTAAAGTGTTATTTTTACGTTACCTTTATATTGATTTTAAATTGACACTCAATGCTTTTGCAAAGCCAGTCTTGGAGTTGCAAAATGATAGGTTTTATTGCAGAGAGAAGAATATTTATCTGAACAGATACATGAGTGTTTCTGTAAAGAATGAGTCTATTTTACTTTATCAGCAACTAAGGGGAAGGTTAATGGCTATGATATATCTTTCCTGTTGTGTGTGAAACATGCAGTGTTCTGTGCTGTTGAGATTTATGGTACAGAAGACAAAGCAGGTGCTATTCCAAGCCTTCTTTCAATAGCATACTGTAAACTTGGGCCTGAATCTGTCTGTCAGAAAGTTAACTTAAAGTGAAATTAGAGAAAGCCTAGAATTTTACATTTTTCCATACGTTCCTGTTGCTACCTCAGGAATTAAGCCAGTGTGATTAATGACCACTGCTATTTGTGAGCTTTCCAAGTCCCTACAGACCTAATGAACGTGACTCTTCAGCCACATAGAAGGAAAATAGGCTGTTAGAGCTCTGTAACACCACATGCTCACAACTATGAGTCCTCCAAGTTGGGAGGAAAGAGCAAACATTTTCCCACCTTATATGCTCACACCTCTAAACATCCCCTACTCCCTCTCTCTCTTCTTTCCCCACCTTTTCTCCCCCCTAGACACACACACACACACACACACACACACACACACACACACACAGACACACGCAGTTCATTCTCCATTTTTTGGTTAATCCAGAATCAATGTCTGATTCTACTTAATCTTGCCTCTTATTTTTCCTTCACATCCAGGCAATCAATCATACCTACTGATTCATTTGTCAGAATAAGTTATAGATTTGTCCTTTCCTCCTTTCAGTTCTTACTATCACCTCATGTTTATGCCAGTCCAATCCCAGAGTTACTGTATGCTCCAGAAACTCTTCCCATTATAGAGGTAATGCAGTCTCTTCATTTCCTTGTCTTTTATTTTAAATCAAATGGTGTCTTTTCTTACCTCTTCTCTATTCTGATCCCACCTACAATCTTGTACACAGTCTGTTATGGTTGTTGTTCCCTCTGAAATTTTAAAATTTCACAAAAAATAAAATTATGGAAAAACTGTGTATGGATTTCAAAAACGTTTGTACCAAAGTAAGCTTGTCTTAACTTGTTATGATATGTCTGAACAGGATTCAGTTTGAGACACTAAGAAGGATAAGACATCAGTTTGAAACCAGCCCCTATGTGATTGACATGAATTCTGCTAAAATTGAAGCACCAATAATCATAAAATTCATGCTGAAACTTGAATGGAAGAATGGTGAAATCATTGGTACTTTGTTAAAAGTTCATGGGGACAATGTTTCACACAAAGCAGCAGTTTACAAGTGGGTAATTCATCTTAAGGGGTGAGATGATGTTGAAGGTGAGGCATGCAGCAGCAGACTATCCACATCAGTTTGCAAGGAAAAAGAGTAATCTCATTTTTTCCCTAATGGAATAGAACTGATGATTAACAGCAAAAACAATAGCCAACACCACAGACATCTCAATTGGTTCAGCTTCTATAATTCTGACTGACAGATTACAGTTGAGAAAACTTTCTGCTCGGTGGGTGCCAGTATAGTTGTGCCCGTATTAGCTTCAGAAGGAGCAGAGCTATAAGTGGAAATTAAAAAAAAAAAGTGTGATTAAAATGGTGAAGCATTTCTTCAAAGAATTGTAACAGGAGATGACACAGGGCTTTACCAGGATCATACTGAAGACAAAACACAGTCAAAACAATGGCTACCAAAAGATGGAGGTGGTACAGTAAAAGTCAAAGCTGACAAGCCAAGAGTAAAAGTTATGGCAGCAATTTTTTAGGGATGTTCAAAGCATTTTCTTTGCAGACTTTCTGGTGGACCAAAAAACAGTAACATTAGCTTATCATTAATGGCTATGTTACTGGACTCCCATATAGTCAACTACAGTTTGAGTCCTAGACCTGGTGGCTTAAACTCGCACTGGGTGCGTGTGCAC